TTTTTCTATTCACTGATTATTACACAAAAAAAAAAAAAGGCTTTCTGTAAACTAGGAAAAAACAAAAAAAAAATCAAGTGAAGAAATAGGGGAGGGGGGAAGAAATCACTGACTTTTTAAAGGGGCCAGCACACGGAATCATGGTGACCGACAAACTAAGAGCCAGTCTTTTTGTTTTTGGTGGTTTGGTTCGATTGTCCTTGAAGGGTTTTTTGCTTGTGCTCAGTCTGCTAATCCTGTACTTTTATTTTGTACATAACAGAAATATACACATTAATAGCAGCCAATCATGTAACATTTGTCTGTATGTAAAGAAATACGTTGGCATTTTTTAAGGAAACTACATTTATAGCTTTGCTTTTAACCCGAGATGTCACTTCTGAGTTTTGTAGTGGATGAACTAGACTTGCTGTTTTAAATGTTTTTGTGAATTTCCTGTAGATAAAGTGAAGCCAATGGTATGTATGTGTTTTTATAATGGAAGGCATTTGAATTTTTTTTTTTTTTTATTTTAAGGCCCTGGAGCCTCCCAGTGAATACCTGCCGCCTTATTCACTCCCTCCTTCACCCTCTCTGCCTGTTTTTAATCGTGGGGGGCTCTTCCTTCCAGCCAGTGGTTCCTGGGGCATCCATTGGCAGTCAGTGGCCTCCAGGCACCAAGGGGTTAACGCCAGGCAGACTTGCAACTGCAGCAGAAATAATGAAAAACTAAAATTAAAAAAAAAAAAACAAAATAATAATCCTGTTGCAGAAGTATTAGCTTCCTTGCTGCACCTTTTCGCAGCGGTTATTCCACGCTGTCTGTGGGTGTGGAAGCCACACCACCTGTGTCGCTGCCTTTAAGGGGCTGAGAGCTTTTAATTGGGATAATTCAGCTCTAATTAAGTGAGGAAGTTTGGGCCCAGCCCCAGCTGAGCTGTGCTCACACACCCATGGGGCAGGTGCTGGGTGTGCGGGGAGCGGTGCCTTTGCAGAGCCCCCTCTGTGACCACAATCAGCCCAGACGGTCAGGGAGGCTGGGAAATTCTTCTAGATTTCAATTAAATGCACGGTTAATCACCTGTAATCCCCCTCCAAATGAGGGGGGGCCACAACCAAAAGTGCTTGGTGTCAGTGAAGTGCAGGGGGAATTGTAAAAGGAATCGTGTAACTGAAAACCAACCAAATCACCCCATTTCCCTGCGTGAGCCTGTCAGACCCTGGCTCGGGGCCAGGGGGGAGTTAATTGAGATGCTAATTGTTCTGCGGCTCCCACACTGTAAATAGCCATTTCCTGGTTTTATTCTGATTTTGGTGGCAGTGGCCCTGGTTTTATTCTGATGTTGGTGGCAGTGGCCCATAAGTGGTAGGTTCTGATGGAGCAGAGTTGAGCATAGAGGAAAATCAAGTGAGGGATGCCCATCCATTAACCGGGGAGGTTAATTAACTTCTTGGTGCCTGCGCTGGCAATGGATGTTCCCTTGGGAACCCGAATTTTGGGACGGGGAGTTCTGGTCTATTGGCTTCTCTTAAGTGACTTATTTTAAAGATAAGGTGAATTTCAGATGAAGAGGCTGGGAGGGGAGGCTGCTCTGCCCCCCCGCCGAAGCCCTGGGGATGTGTGGGGCAAGCAGTGGGTGGCAGAGCCCCACATCTCCCATCCCACAAAAAACCTCTGGGGCTTGAGGTGCCCATTTGTCAAGTTTCTGACATTTGTAATCCCAAATGATTGCAGCACTTCCAGCCTGTGCCTGTAAACTTGCCATGTCTGTAACGGTGAAGGTGCCAATAAATGTACCAATCACAGTAAAGTCACTTTTTTTTACAAAAAAAAAAAAAAAAAAAAAAAGAAAAAAAAAAAAAAAAGAGCGCATCTTGTGCTGGGAAAGAAAAAAATACCTATTTCCTGGGTATTTTTCCTGGATGGGGGGAGCAGCGTCCACCCTGAGCAGGGGGGTCTCGGGGCTCTCCCCCTCTCTGGAGCGAGGGGCTCCTTGGATCTTGCAGACCTGGTTCATTTTGTCAGTGGTGCACTTGATTATTATTTTATTTTTTATTTTTTAAACTCGCAGCTGCCTTGAGTGATTCATTCTGGAGATTTGTTACTAAGGGATTTTAAGAAAATATCCCTTTTCTAAAAAGTTTTCTTTTTTTTTTTCCATAGAAGTGTGTTTTGAACCAATTTCCTAGTGCCCACCTTTGTGGAGACAGGTGCCGTTTTTACATTCTGGTATTAAAAGTGGTTTCTACTTGTGAAACTCAAAAAAAACCCACCCCAATTTTAGAAATGTGTGTAACTTTTCTGAAAAGCTGAGGTGAAGGTGGTAAGGGCTCTCCTGGGGGTGTCTTGTTCTGTGTCAGCCTTGTTCCATGGGGGATTCTCTGGAATTAAGCTGCTGAATTAAGCATTCAGCTGCTTTTAAAATGACTAATTAAGGAATGCTGACGGCTGGCTAACGAGGTTTCCAAAAGCATCACCCGAGGAGCTGCTGGGGCTCCTTGGGGACGAGGGGAGGTGGCAGGAGCCCGGCCACTCCTGGGGATGTGGGAGACCAGGCTCCTTGGGAACCTGTAGGGAGCTTCTGAGGGGTCCTGCCCGGGGGCTGTTCCCTGTTTCTCTCCTGGATATAGTTTAGATCATTTTTATTTTAAAGCCTGGAGATTCAGTGTCACACCTTGTTGTGATGAGGCCAAATAACGAGCTCGCACAGGTCGTGGCATCGCTGTTTCTAATGGGCCACCAGTGCCCTCTCCAGGTTGATGTCCCTGTAAAATGGATGCGGTTTTAAGGGTAAAAGCTCAAACTCCTCCTGCTCTGAGGGAGGTGATAAAATGACCTTTTGTAGCTTTTACTTAAAAGGTTTTATTCCCTGCTTGGAATGTCAAAGAGCAGGAGGGAGGCCGTAGGATGCTGCTCCTTTCCTCTCCAACTCAGGCAGCAGGTTGTACAGCACCAGCGGCTCCATTGTAACCTCTCGTTAAAAGTTTGTTGCCAAATGACATCATTATCCCCATTTGGGGGTAATTTGGGTGTAATTACAGCAATGGAGGAATGGAGAGCTGCTCCCAGCCTCTTCCAAAGGGTCACTTCTGCCTTGGGAAGGACCCGTGGGCTTTTGTGGTAGGAGACTTTTAGTTTATTCCAGTTTGTAGCTTTTACTTAAAAGGTTTTATTCCCTGCTTGGAATGTCAAAGAGCAGGAGGGAGGCCGTAGGATGCTGCTTGTTTTAACTCAGGCAGCAGATTGTGCAGCGCCAGCAGCTCCATCGTAACCTCTCGTTAAAAGTTTGTTGCCAAATGACATCATTATCCCCATTTGGGGGTAATTTGGGTGTAATTACAGCAATGGAGGAATGGAGAGCTGCTCCCAGCCTCTTCCAAAGGGTCACTTCTGCCTTGGGAAGGACCCGTGGGCTTTTGTGGTAGGAGACTTTTAGTTTATTCCAGTACAGTTGTTTTTTTGGGCAGCTTTTTTTGATCTGGCTTTAACTTTGCAATGGAGAATCTGAATCAGGCAAGTGCCCACCTGGGGCTTGTTCCCACGTAGCCCCGGATGTCCCTCAGGTGGTTGAGATGATGCTGGAGACCAGGAGCAGGTTCTGGGTGGTGTGGTGTGGCTGGGACTGTGCTCCTCCAGTGCCCCCGGCCTCTTCCCATCCTTCTCCAGAGCTTTTTTCCCCTCTTCCCTCCATGGCTCTGTGGATACGGCGCGGAGTCCGGCAAATCCAGGAGGTCCATGTGCCACGGCCCCTTTTCTCCTTAAAAATGGAATAACTGGGCTGTGCTGTGAGCTGTTGGTGAGACTTTTCTGCCTCACTGGAGTCATTATAAATGGTCTTTGTAGAGAATGACTGGGTTAGGTTTATTTTTTTTTTTATTTTAATTTTTTTTTTCTGAGATGATAGCATTTCCTGTCCAAGTAATTAAAGCATGGGTTGATGATGGTGCACTTTGTATCCCGTCCCGGGGCGTGCATGCGGGGAATCGACGTCCTCCACTTCACAGGCACCACGAGCCTCTTTCTTTCTTTTTTTTTTTGTTGTTGTTGTTGTTTTTATAACTTTTTTTCAAGGCGATTTGCTGGTTTCTGTAAAACCCCCTGCGGTGTCGTTTGGTAAATGTGTGAGCAGTGTTACTAATGATAGAACTGATATCAGAGTACATGTGCCTGACATCCTTATACCACACAGTATGGTTAGGTTTGAACTAATATGGACTTCGGTGGAATAGTCTTAGATATTTCAAGCCTTTGTTTTACTTACACGATGGTGCTCTATTTGTGTTTTTCTCTTTTTTTTTTTAAATTAAAAAAAAAAAATAATAAAAGCATCTGAACACTTGTAGTACATATGACATCCAAAGGAGTCCAAAACAAAGTGCTTCTAAACATGCTTGATTTTAATTTGCCTTTAGTTTGGGGCATTTCTCATCAGCTACAGTTTGGGGGTTGGTTTTTGGAATTATTTTTTTTTTTTAACTAGTTGCTGACTACTTTGGAAACCCTTGGGTAACGTTACACCCATTATGAAGTGATCCTGCACTGCCTTTGGATTGTGTATGTATTCAGAAAACAGTCTTAAAAAGCTTTTATTTAAGCTATTAAACAAACCAACCAACCAACCAGGGACTTGTGCCATTTGTTCTTTACCAGTGCTGTTGTAAAAAGACTTCCCTGTGGAAAAAAAAAAAAAAAAAAAAAATCCCTGGCTCTGAACTAACTCTGGTTATAGCTTTTTATTTTTATTTTTTTTTTTCCCACGATGGATCTTTTTCTTTGTATTTGTACAGTGGCTCAGTGAAAGATGTTGCCATGAGTTGATATTGTAACCAATAAACAAGTGCTTTTAACCAGAGGGTGTCACTCGTGGGTGCTTCGGTGGGGACAGACCCACCCTTCCTGCAATTAATTCTTGCTTCTTAATTACCTTATGGTAGGGGAGACATGATGGGTGTTAAACAGCAAAATGTTACCTGAAGAAACTGCCCCCCTTCCCTGCAGGTACCAAAGAACTTCCCGGAGCCAAGGGGTAGGATTTCTTTTTAATAAATAGCTGCAGAACACATGCAACTCCACAAAAGTGCTCCAGAAGAAGAGCATGAAACCCCCCTCTCCCACACAAAGGCCGGGCTCCTCCTCAGTCCTGGATTTCACAGTTTCCCCCCAAACCCCAGAGCCTCAGGACCAAGCAGCAGGTGACAGCGCGGTGACAGCAGCGTCCCCGAGCTCCCCACCGTTACCTGCCTCCAGCATCAGATCTTACATCTATTTAAAATAGCCCTTAATTACTGGAAATAGCAAATCCCCACAGCTCAGTTTTTAAAGCTGCATATTTCATTGAGTCGTGTTAACGCTGCCGTAAAAATATAGAAATATTCCGAAAAGGCTTTCTCTTTTAAAATAAGTTACTTTTGATAAAAGTCTAGTTAGAAAAAAAAAAAAAAAAAGGTGTTAAATGATTGCAGATGGCAACAGCAAAAAACATATAGTTGTGGTTTGTTTTTTTTTTTAAAAAAAAAGAGGCTTTGTGCTGCTGGAGGTGAAGCTGCTCCCCCCGAGGGCAGACCCCAGGGCAGCTCTGGGTTCCAGCCCCACACCCCCCGGCCCCCCCAGAGCTCTCATCACCAGCCAAGGCCACCAGCTGGGCCCCTTCTCCCACCCCTGGGCACCAGAACCTGGTGACAGTGACACCTCAGCCTGGGGTCCAGCCACTGACCCTTTCACCGCTTCATCAACTGTCAGAAATCTGCCAAATTTGGTCAAATAAGTTGATTTTTACTTACTGAGTGGCAGCCAGAGGGGAAACCAGCGCCTTTCATCAGCGAATGACCATCTTCCACTCCATTTGAGGAAGAGGAACCTCTGCCCAGCCCCATCTCATCTGCTTCCAAAAGTCCTCACCTCGTGCTAGAGCTTCTATTTCCCTTCATTACACACAAACACACACAAAAATCCTCCTCCATCCCTGGCTAATTCCTGAGTGACGGAGAAGAGGAGCCGGCGAGGCCGTGATGAGCTCTCTCTCCCTGCACCAGCTCCTGGATGCCAGGAAGCCAGACCTGCCACCACTACATACTAATTAAAAAACCCAAATCCTTAATTGGTTTTTATTAAGTGCCCAAAGAATTTTAGTGTTTGTTTAAAGGTAATTTTTTAACTCAAAAATCCGCCAAACTAACATAGCACTCAGACACCACACCTCTTCCCTTCGCTTCACCCTCCCAGTTTTACAGTAATTAAACAAGTGTCATCAAAGTAACATTTAAAATATAAATCATTTCATGTGACTCCACAGAGGAGAAGTGTAATCTGTAAAATTTCCTACTTTGTCCTACAAAGGATCACCAGGAAAGTCAGCAACGATGCTTTATTTACTCTTCTGAAGAAAATGCTTTGTAAAGCCGTCTAGTTCATTCTCAAGGTGAATGGCTTTATTTCTGGAAAAACAAACAAAAGGGAGGGATTTACTTGTACAGTGAGGGGAGGGGAGGCAGAATCAACCCCAAGCTGTAACTTCCCTCCTCTGGTCCCCAAACCCACCCAAAACCCACCACAGGAGAAACTCCAGGCAAGAGCCCCCCCAGGGCCAGGGGGGAAGAACATGGAATTAAGGCCGAGGCTGCTCCTCAGGCCCCAAACCACCTCCTGCTGGGAGTTTCTCTCCCATAAACACCAAATAGAGGTCAAAAATCATACCAGTATGGGCTCTGAGCGACTCCCAGTGCTGCCCTTCTCCCAGGGGAGGAGTCTGGGGGAAGCCCCCACCCTAATTTACCTACAGATTCTACCCACCTACTCTTCAGAAAGCCACCTCTCCCATAAAATAAAAAAGAGCCAAAAAATCTTCTAAGAAAGACTATTTTTGGAGCTTTGCTCACTCACCTACATAGAAACATGCATTTATTTAACTGTCCAGGGACAGGTGAAGAAAGTGGGAATTGCTGCACCCCCTGGGCCCCCTCCTTTC